CTTACCCTCCCCCAGCACCACGCCACCCCGCACTGCCTGCTCACTTCCCGGCGCTCCCTGCACTTGCCTCCCCACCCTCCCCTGCTCGGGTGTCCCCTACCCCTCCCACACTGCACACCCGCTACGCTCCGGGGGGCGGCCCCTGCACCCCCTACCCTCCCGCACACTGCACACCTAACCCTTCCTGCCACTGCCCCCCTAACCCTTCCTGCACTGTCCCCTACCCTCCCGCACTGCCTCCCCACCCCTCCGGCACTGTCCCCCTACCCTCCGCACTGTCCCCTGACCCTCCCGCGCACTGTCCCCCAACCCTCCCTGCCAGCGGTGTCCCCCTACCTCCCTGCACTGTACCCCCTACCCTCCCTGCACTGTACCCCTACCCTTTTCCCTGCACTGTCCCCCAACCCCTTTCCCGGCACTGTTCCCCCTACCTCCCGCGCCACTGGTCCCCCTACCCTTCCCTGCACTGGCTCACCCCCTACGGCCCTCCTGGCCACTGTCCCCGCACCGCCCCTCCCTGCACGTGCTCGCCCCTACCCTCCCGGACCGCTGCTACCCCCTAGGTCTCCCTGCCCACATGTTCCGCCCGAACCCTCCTGGCACTGTTCCCCTACCCTCCTGGCCCTTTGTGTTTTTTCGCACTGCTCCCCTACCTCCCTGCACTGCTCCCCCTACCCTCCCGGCACTGTTCCCCCTACCCTCCTGGCCACCTGCTCCCCTACCCTCCCCTGGCACTGGTCCCCCTACCTTCCCTGCCACTGTTTGCACTGTCCCCCTACCCTCCCTGCACTGTCCCCCCTACCCTCCCTGCACTGTCCCCTCTACCCTCCCTGGATCCTGTGGTGGGACCCCCGCCATGCCCCTAGGTGGAAGCCAGGCTCAGGTCACTGCTCACACTCTCACTCACTCACTCATTCCTTCCTGCGACACGGAGTCTGAGTCCCTCTACACAGGGCCTGGCAGTGCTGTGGGGTCCAGAGACCCAGGGGCTCCCCAGGGGCCTGCGGCTGGAGAGATACTCGGTCCTGCAGCAGAGCAGGCTTCAGGGGCCCGGGGGAGCAAAGCCTCCTGGGGGGCAGGGGCAGTGGCTGTGCCTGACAAGGAAAGGCCTGCCACCAGCACAGACATCCCATGCGGCACTGGGACAGGCATGGGGGCATGCGGGTCCATGGTTCACAAAGGGGCAGGACGGCAGGCGTCGCCAAGGCTGCAGGTGCATTTTATCAGATGTACTCACAGCCCCAGCAACGGCTGGTGGGCAACACTGGACACGGAGTGCCCGGCTGAGATGGCCAGAGGGCACCTGCCACACAGCCAGTGTGAGCTGAGGTGTGGGTGTTGGTGTAAACCATGTGCCAGGGCTCAGACTTAGTAGGAACAAAATAATGTAAAATACACGTTTCTTTTTCCTTGATGACATGTTGAAATTTTTGATAGGATGGGTTAAATAAAACATATGATTTCATCTGCTTTGGTGTATTCTTTTTTAACCTTTTAAAGGTGGCTATTAGAAAAGGTGAAATTCACGTATGACTCATACATGTTTGTGCTGGACAGCGCCGGTCAGAACCCTCTTGCAGAACACAACCAAATACCTAGGATCAAAAAGAACTTTCTGAGGCCCGGCACAGTGGCTCACGCCTGTAATTCCAGCACTTTGGGAGCCAAGGCAGGTGGATCACTTGAGGTCAGGAAATCGAGAGCAGCCTGGCCAACATGGAGAAACCCTGTCTCTACTAAAAATATAAAAATTAGCTGGGTGTGGTGGCACGCACCTGTAGTCCAAGATACTTGGGAGGCTGAGGCAGGAGAATCGCTTGAACCTGGGTGGTGGAGGTTGCAGTGAGCCAAGATTGCACCACTGCACTCCAGACCCTGTCTCAAAAAAAAAAAAGAACTTTTTGAAATTACCTAGGAGCGATGAAGAAAGTAAAATGATGGAAGGAAATATACAAGGAAACACACTGGACATGAAATGAATCTTAAATGTCAAAGGCCTGAGACTTTCATCTCATGTTCACTTAGTCTTCAATATTCACTAATGAAAAACCCAAACCAATCAAACAAAACCCCCAGAAAACTCTCCAAAGATCTGGAAATGTATGAGCATCTGTGGAACAGCAAAAGCAGGGCTTAAAGGAAAATACATAGCCTTAAATGCTTATATCACAACAGAAGATCTAGCTTAAAAGTTAGGGGCAAAACAGCAAATAAACTGAAAGCAGAGGGAAAGAAAAACAAAACAGGAATTAAAACCAAGAGAGTTAAAAAGTTGGTTCTTTGAAAACAGTAATCAGTTTATCCAATAGGATTGATCAGGAAACAAAGAGAAGGAAGATGTACACAATGTTGGGAACACCAAGCGTGTAACTAAAGATGCTGTAGATGATGAAAAACGCTGCATGCTGCGATGACAACCCACGCCAGTACGTTTCAAAACACCAGTGAACTGACAAATTCTAGAAAAACTGACAAGAAAAATAAATCCAAGTATTTCTATAACCATGCAGAAATCAGAATCAGTAGTTAAAAAGTAAAGGTCCAACCCAAAGGGTTTTACTTGTAGTTCTTTTTTTTTGAGACGGAGTCTCGCTCTGCCACCCAGGCTGGAGTGCAGTAGTGCGATCTCGGCTCACTGCACTGCAAGCTCTGCCTCCCGGGTTCCTGCCATTCTCCTGCCTCAGCCTCCCCAGTAGCTGGGACTACAGGCGCCCACCACCATGCCTGGCTACTTTTTTGTATTTTTAGTAGAGATGGGGTTTTACCACGATGGCCAGGACGGTCTTGATCTCCTGACCTCGTGATCCGCCCTCCTCGGCCTCCCAAAGCGCTGGGATTACAGGTGTGAGCCACCGCGCCTGGCCTTTACTTGTAGTTCTACCAAATACTCCAGATGTACAATTCCAGTCTTCCATGAACAAGTCCACCATATAGAAAAACACAGAACGCTGCTCAGCTTATGGGGCCAGAATAATCTTGAAACCAAATCTGACCAGGACTCTATGAGAAAAAAACATTTAGGCCAATATCACTCATGAAAAGAATGCAAAAGTCCTACACAAATTATAAACAAGAGTCTTGCAATGTGTAAAAACACGAATATATCAAGGACCAAGTTGGATTCATCTCAGGAATGCAAGGTTGGTTTAATATTAGAAAATCAGGCCGGGCACGGTGGCTCAAGCCTGTAATCCCAGCACTTTGGGAGGCCGAGACAGGCGGATCACGAGGTCAGGAGATCGAGACCATCCTGGCTGGCGCGGAGTATATTGGCCGGCCCATGGCGTACGCTTATGAAGGACGCTGAGGCAGGGAGGGATTGACTGTGGAGCGCCGAGATTGGGGAGGCTAGAAGTGAGCCTATCATGGGTGCACATACAGGCACCCCAGTGGGTGTAATCGCACAGTGACACCCCAGTCTGTTTAAAAAAAAAAAAGACATAAAAGGGAGGGTCTCAAAGCTGAAGAAATACAGACGCCATCCCCCACGGCTTGAGCTCACTGTCTGGGAAGTACAGATGCCCATTTTCCATCAATACTGAGCAGCAGATTCAAGACAATCTCAATCAACTAATCCAACTGTTTGGTAACCTTGACAAGAATAGATCATCAAAAGGTATTTTCGTGTGAGAATAATGGTCAAGAATCAGCTGA